AAACGCATTATTGTAATGTCGTCGACGGGACGAGCGCCAGCTTTCATTCGATACTGACATCGGAAAGTCTATATGCGTGAGCTAATGTCCCATGTGAACATTTTTTCGCAATGCTATATGCATAGCAAATCTAGTGATACATCATCGGTTAATTTGCAAATCACTAATAGTAATCACAAGTAGATTTCAAATATCCAAAATTTACTCTCTGAACAATTTATATATGTAGATAGGTATATATAATGTACATGGAATTATTGAATTAAAATTAATTTAATATTTAATTAAAATTAATTATTTTAAAATTAAAAAAAGGTAAATATTGTAGGCCAACTAAACGAGCAATTAAATAAGATCTAAAGATTTATTAATAATTAAATAATTAAATTTTCATTCTGTTAGAGAAACAATATACAGCGTAAACGTTTCGACTGCACTACAGTCTTTTTCAATACATAAAAATCAAATATTAAAATACAATACGTCTTACTCATCCATTGGTCATCAGCGAAGAATCGTTTAACTTTGTATTTTAATATTTAACTAACTTTGTATTTTAATATTTAACTTTGTATTTTAATATTTAATTTTTATGTATTGCTCGTTTAGTTGGCCTACAATATTTACCTTTTTTTAATTTTGTTAATTTATACGAGCCTTTCATTAATTAATTTTAATTATTTTAAATTATTAAAAATTAATTATAATTATTAATTATTTAATTTATTGCTAAAGATATAAGTACTGATGTGGAAATCTCTTATTGATCCATTTTGCCTTACTGTATAAAAAAGGCACAGTAGATTAGTAAAAGAAAATTTTTCTTGTAATCAATATATACAATTGTATATTACATATAATACTTAATGATAATTTAAGAAATTAAATTTTTCAGAGATAAAATCTCAAAGACACAACTCGGAAGAGTGATTTCAGATTTTGAATTGTTTATTGTAATATTAATTAAAGTATCTCACAATAAATGAAATTATCAAAATGGATAGTATATATTTGAAGTTTAACTTTCATGAAGGGGATTCCTTTGACAGATGTCAAATATGCGGGTATTACAGGCAATACAACGACGATAAATACGATTGACCAAACGGAATGCGAGCCGTGATCAGGATTATTGACAACGCTTACGCGCCGGTTCGATAGCAATCTCGGAGCCTTCGTAGACCTTTCGAGGCCATGTTATTCAATGTCAAAGACAAACGGGAGCGGACGTCGTTACCCGGCGCCACCGCGCCGGCACTCTCACGCTCGATTTCTTCCGCGTGGCAAACCGCGGCCTTGCTCGCGCGCCTTTCACTCTTTTTTTTCGTACGATATTTACGCTAAGTCCCGTTGAGCTCCATTCATGTCGACGAGACGCGATGACGGCGGCAGCAGGTGTTGCTGGCGCGGCAGATATAAATACGGATCGCTCGCTCTCTCTCGTAGGTAGATAGATATTACCACCCAGAGGCTCTTAACCTATGGATTATAACCCCGTGTGGGTCGACACGATCTTTTAATAGAGTGGAATTTCCTCCTACACACACCCGCGTAGTGATTCAGCACGTCGCGTCGATCGTTTGACGTAATGAAAAATGCTGATCCGAGCGACTCGCCTCGTGAAGTTAATCGTCCGCACTTCCGAGCTAATCTAGTGCTAATCAAAAAGGATCACCGATCGAAGATGTTTAATGAGATATACAAAATATAAATAGATCCCAATACAAAATTTGCCCAATAATATATTAAAATGTCAGAAAGTCCAGAAAGTTCAGAAAGTCCAGCGATACATAAAAAATAACTTGTGCTTGAAATGTGCTAGAGTTTTCATATATTGGGGTTTAATTTCAAAAGTGTGAATGGCGATTCTTCTCTCGATCTCTCGAATAAATGAGAATGTCTATCTCTCTGCGAGTCTCTCTGTCGCGTGACTTAATCGAGTAGAATATGCCAATGGGATTGAATCATGGTCACGTAGCTGATGTCTGAACTTTGTCTGCGACTCGACTCGGAAAAAAGAAGCTATAAGAGCTGGAGCTCTCTTTCTCTGTCTCTCTTTCTGTGTTGGTAGACAAAGGAGCAACTCGAGGTCTGTCTAACTGAAATCACGTCATTGACCGGAGAAAGAGAGAACTGCTGCGGGTGCACGCACGAGGTACGCACGCGTATGCGTATCTACATTGAACATCCCACGCGTGAGAGTGTCTTCATGACATCGCGCCATGGACCGCACGGTTTCCTTGCCTAAGCAAGGGGGCGAAATAATGAGAAAGAGCCGCCACATGTGGACGGAAGACGCGATATACCGCGTGCAACCTAATTCTTCTTTTGAGAGAGATCTTATAGGCTTGTTTTCTGTTCCTGCGCACTAACGAACTAATGCACACTGCAATAAGTTAGAATGAGACAAGTATTTATTATCTCATCTAATTTACTGCACCAATGTGCACTAGTTTATTAGTGCAGGAACAGAAAACAAACTCTATGTATTGTCAAACTTTTTCAATAGACTATACTTCATTGAATGAGTCACTTAATGAAAGAAGAGTAGTGTGTTATAAACCTAATTTTTTAATTTAAATTAATGTAATTTCGACGAAACTATGCATGTGACTCACCCTATAATAGACGTCCATATGAAAAATAATAGTTCGTTAAAGTGTGTCCTTAATGATTATCAACATGGTGATTCACAAAAATGTATCCCCCATTATTACGCGGAAGTCGTTTGATTGTATCTGAAGGTTCCTATTACTATCGAGTTACGAGTGACTGTAACGAGGATACTGAATCGTTTTTTATTTTGGCGCAAATTGTTAAATTTTAACAGCTCTTCGCACCATGACGTTTACGACTAAAATTACGCGAGAGTATTGGATTATAGTATTAATTAATGGTCCTGTAAAAAAAAAAGTATGCAGCAACGTTGCTCTGACATCTGTTTGCTCCGGAAAATTGAAAACTTCCCCCCTTTTACATCCCAGGTCCATTATCTGAGATCTATATTAAGTATCCGAACTTGACAGATTAGTTATATCGATTAATTGTTTTTACGACACGAATCGCGTCGTTAATTTTTACACGGCTTTATGATCGATAATGTGATAATTAAGATCCAAAAATATCGGTCGCGAGAGAAGCTTTGCGCATTCTCGTGGCCCCGTAAAACTTTATCAATTTATCAAGAAGAGGTTCGATGCGATGAAATGGTAATGTAACTTTGGAATCGCGAATAAGCGTAGAAAAAAATATAGACTAATGAGAGTTAGGCGGCGTTTCGTAACTTTCCGTTCGCGCAATTTAATTACGGCCACGTGGAAGAAGTTAATGAAGTAAATAACCGCCGGTTTCATACATTATTCAACCGAGTTAGAAACATCTCGCACACCCGATTTACGAACTTTTCTCTGCCCTTTCCCTCCCTCGTCCACCCTTTTCCCTATTCTGGAAAAGTTCCCACGACTGCATACATCATCGAGTCGGACGATCAGTTTACCACCTGGGTGAGATGCAACTCACCCTCTATGCATGCACGCAAACCGCTCCGAAATTTTTGAACCGTTCCTAGGATAAAAAAGACACCAAAAGCTTCCCCCGACATCCTTAAACTTTCCGTTGTCCGAGAGTTATTCCGTTTACGGAACTATCCAAGATGAGATCAAACTCGACTTCTTATCCGTCATATTTCTTCATCTTACTAGACTTTTCAACATTCTGAATTTCTCCGATAAATGATCTTTTGCTTCTTGGATCATTCGCGTTTGAATTTTATTTTCAACTTATCCGTCACGATTGCAATACTCGGCTATTCAAAAGTTTCCGAAATCCAAGATAAATAAAAGAGAGATTAACGCGATAAAATAATAGAATGAATAAAACAAGTTTATCTATCTACTTTGATATGGAAAAAAATTCAATTTATAGTCATCGCTGATCTCACATTGGATATGGAAGGATTAAACAACGTTGAAATGAACAAGTATCGTATGAACGGGTGTGGATTCACTGATTGTGAATGCCGAATCGTGGATTTCATGCAGAAAAAATTGGACGACATGACGTATGACAGAAGTGTCACTCCGAAACATAATCGATTTTCTGTGGCTCTTTAAAAAAAAACTGTGCAAGCGACAGTTTACTAATAACAAAATTGGTGTAAAATTGCAAAAATATTCAACGAAGTTGTATTTAAACGAAGCGGAAAGAGAAATATAATGAAGTAATCAAATCTTAATAAATTGATTTCTGCTTCTTCGTTTTAAAAATAAAATAATATATGAGAGAGACACATTATATATCTCTTTAAACTTTACTAATTATAGTTACTTGTATTTTTTTCATTATTAAATTGGAATTTAATATACATAGAATATTGAGAAATTAGATCAACATCTGAAATTTCGACATTTCCTATGACTTTGACAGTGACATACAATAATTCATTCATACCACGCCTTTGATCTCGCTAAAAATGATCGATGTGAGTGTACTAACCGCGGTTGCATAGTTAGCATAATCCAATGACTCACACTAATTTTTCTCGCTTTTGTCACGTTTTTTTGTCCGCATTAGTTGGATAATATTTTTTGACATTTATTTTAAAAACGCAATTCTATGAAATTCAACAGTGAAATAGTATACAATACACGATTAAAAGGCGAAAAAAATTCGCAAAAGGAAAGAATGCTGAATGAAAAAAAAATGACAAAAATGCTCAACAATAGAGAAGAATCTTTCAGTCCTCTCATGACGTCCGCCACGAAGCCACGTTGCACAATCATCGATGCAGCGACGAGCTGCATTGAAATTTCCCGTCGTACGATAGTAGCACGAATTGAATACACGTTCGTTCATTTAAATACAATTCTCGCGCGCGCGACCTTCCTACCTATGTGAAAGTCCAAGGACATTCTCGCGTGACGTCATCGCATATCGACTCGCAGCTCCAGCGAGATTCTACACATAATTCGGAGTATTTTTACGCGACACGAGACGCTTACCTGAGACAGATCGGAGTCGTCGCGTATCTTTGCATCCATGGTCATCTGGTTCGCATAGATTCTCGGCGTCGCGACGACGAGCGCCGCGGCGAACAGGAACGTCAGCATCGTCCTTGCGGCGATTATATCAGACACACGAGAGAAAATTCACCAATTCACTCGCGGAGTATAAACGTTCACCACGCGAACGATCTATCGCGTATTATCGATCACCGATGGATCATCGACGAGAGTCAACGCGACACTGACACCGCGTCCGCGAGAAACGTCAACGGAACCGGAAGTTCTCCAACGGACGGACACCGTAGTCGGACAAAAGGATAATTATATGCGCAATTAACGTGATTTGCCCGATCGACGAGCGAGCGCGAGACCGCGCGATTGTTTTTTCTCTCTCTCTCTCTCTTTCTCTCCTCGATTTATTTCGATCTGTCGCTGCACTCTTTCCGCTCGACGTGTCAACGATACGAAGGATAGCGCGGTACTGCGCCCTCTCCATGCCTCAACCCCTCTTATCCCCCACCAGCCTCGTCGGAACGAGTCTTCGGCGTGGTAGCCGAGTTTCCCCCTCCAGTGACGTACCCCACCTACGCGTGCGACCGCCGTGAACACGTGACGTCACTTACCTTTTCTCTACGCAGCGATCACGCGTCGCGATACTTTAATTCCAATATCGATACATCTGCTCCGATTTTCGTGCGGCGATAAAGGTCTAAACGGAAATTGAATATCAGACAAGCTGTGCTTAATATAAGGGATGCGTTTGATGTGCGTGACGATATTACGTGTCGAAAACCGATATGGTTTTTCTTTAACGGGACATCCAAACACAGCGACTAGTTTATCAACACCGATTAAAAAACAAACAGATACATCGTTTATCAAACATGCAAATAACAGCAGACTGTAAACAAACAACAACCTTCTATTCTGCAGTCAATTACAAATTGAGTTTATTTTACCAAGACTTTAAGTTGAGATGTAAACAATTCAGAATTGAAGATGTTGAAATCTTTAAACTGCAGAGATAATTATAGCATCTAATTGAATTCCGATACAAGAAATTGCATTTCAGTTTTCAACATAAACTATCGTATCCGTATACTGATTATCGAATTTTAATTTTATACGTGTAGAGAATGATATTTTAAAATCGATGCTAAAATTGAGAAGCTATTGTGCAAAAGATAAAACTCTCGATTATTTTAAGGATTTAATTTATAATCTATTGCTTGAACCGCGATGATGGTGTAGTCGAATAAAAAATGTCTTGCAATCGTTGATGGGAATCAACAAAGATAATGTGGCTACATTCTTCAATCTAAACGAGTTAAGTAGGTGAATTAAATTATCTTTTTCAGAGTAAGCTGAGTTGTAAGCCCTATAACTTACCATTTAAACGGATACAAGATAGGATAGCTAGCTGGATTGTACTTTACGTTCTCGGTGCAAAATTCTCACTTTTCACACTTTCAGCTAAATTTTATATGCATAAATGATATAAATAAATTTTGTGCTAGAAATAACAAATCTGCTTAATGTAAAAAAAGGATCAAGAATTCGGGATTAAATTTTCCTATTTGCGTGCTCCCTTTTTGAAGATGGACTATCGCGGCGGAGGATTATTAATTTGCAATTTAACAGCCGTAGAACTATATATTAATCATTATATATCCTCTTATATTGCGAAAGGAGCAAGAGAAAGAGAGATAGAGATAGGAGAGAGAGAGAGAGAGCAGCACGATCGAATTGGGAGCGATATAATTGCCAACTCCAACAGAAGTTCATGGGTATTTACTAAGTGAAGTGGACTTGGACCAATTCTCGAAACCACTTGAGGCACGGCGCGGATTAAGGAAAGATCCTGATCACGAATATAAACGCATAGGTCCGGGTGGAAGTTCCGTATTGTGTGTCCCGTTCTCTGCTTGTACAAACGTTAAGTTCGTCCCAATCCACCCTAGTAATTAGAGTACTCTAGATACGTCTCTTTCACTCCCTCCTCTTCCCTTTCCAGTTAGACTAACTTAGGAACACACGCAGCTCGACACGGTGTTACCCTCGTCGCGAAATAACACATTTTCGCGAGAGACGATGTCACTCACTGATAGAGTTCGACAAATTTCATCGACGCTGCAGAATTAATCGGCTGGAAATATGTTTTCCTGCCCGGAGTTTGGCAAATGTTTGACAACGAATAACAGTTTGTATGCACGAAAGGGGGATGAATATTTAGTTATTAATACGCAAACGCACGCCTCCGCGCACTCGACCCACGCGACAACAATATACACGTAACGAAAGTGTCGCGGAAAACAAATCGTATTACACTTTCGGTCAAACCCGATCCTATATATATCGGTTCTCCGCGACAAAATTTATTCTACAAAAATCCAAGGGACATGGAAATTTTCGAAATTTTCGAGCGCAAACCGGGAATTATACGACGTTGCGATTTATACCTATGCGGATTGTGTAATTCAAAGATCGCGCGATTTTGAAACACCGATCAAAGCACCGAGAAAGCTCGTGGTATACGAGATCTCGAGAGCCCCAAGGGCGTCGACCCTCAATTACGAATCTCACACCCTGGCGTTTCTCGTAGCCGGCTATCGTCGGGGAAAGCTCGCTCGTCCCTTAAAGATGAAACAAACTCGACCATGAAAAGAAAAGTTAAGTGCTCGTGACATTCCCCACGACGCGGCTCCTCACGTTCGCCATTTTTCTCGGCGAACCATAATCCTCCACGAGCGGCGTAATTTTTAATTACTTCCCGGCGACTCCCTCCTGCACACATTTTCTTGCCCGCCGATTTTCCTCCCCATCTCTTTTTGTCCTTCGTGATAATGGAATTAGTTGATTAATAAAAAACGGAGTTTATTTCTCTAGATTATTATTTTCCACTTTGCAGCGTCGATCGATTCGTGTAAATGCAAAAATTAATTTAGTATTCGAGAATTTTTAAGTTTATTAAATAAACTTTTTTTTCTCTACAATATAGAATATTGAAGACTTTCAGGGTGTCTAGCGGTCAGGGAAATCTAGAAAACCGGGCATTGTCACGCAGGGAATTTTATCAATCTGGAATTGTCAGGGAAAAGTGAGGAAATTTTACTATTTATCTGGATTTTTTCACATTATTCTACATTTGTCTCAATAATTGTGTTATTTTATTTCAATGTGTTTGATAGAGACAAAGCTAAAAAATTTTATATAAATAAAAAAGTGATCATTTAAATAGTTTATAGACATGTTTGTTTCGATTATCGTACATAATGCAGATTGTATAATTGATTGAAATTTTTGTTTAAACTACCAAACCTTTTCATTCTTGACAAAAATATCAACGAATTTCATGATTTAACATTTAATTGATTTATCATATAGATATACGTAAATTATATATTTAGAAAAATAATACTAAAGTCAGGAAATTTCTTTCATCGAGTCTGCTGGACACCCTGTAATTGTAAAAGACTTTTAAGACTTAAACAATCAAAAATTTTAAATTTATAAAAATCCATTTATATATCGGAGAATACATTGGAATAGCAAATTGTTATGCTTCAAGAGCCACATCCAGTCCAATTCATCTTTCTCCATAAAACGCATAATTATATCCGCGGTAATAAAATCATTGATGCGCGCGCGAATAATTCGGCTTTAAATCGCACCAAATCGTCTAATAGCCGCCCTCGTGTCATTCCCACGTCCGATCTCGGTCATGCGCTATATATTCGCGACCGTGTTCGCGAATACAGGACGCGCCGAGCGTTTTATCGCCGCGCTGCAACCGGCTGTTATTCTTTTTCCGAGTTGGACCCCGCCGCTTTTGTTTTCGCCAACTGGAGCGGTTCGCGCGATTAACTGACCGTCGTCCAACGATCCCAGTCTCGTTGAACGAAAAAAAATGGACGGATCTCTCGCGTTTGCTTCTCTTTCTGTACCTCTCTCTCTTCCCTTCTCTGGACACGAGCGAATTTACGGAGGCGCGTAACCGCAGCGCGTAAAACGCCATTCGATATAGCAGGAAATTGCGACGAATATTTTAACACGACGCTCGCGAGAGTATCACGAGATGCGATTTTACGACCCTCGGGAAAAATAGATGCGCGTACATAATGAGTGCTTTCCTCTCATTATAAATTTCATGGATAATAATGGTGCAGAATGTATCACAAGAATATAATGTTCTCTTTCTATCTCCACCTTTCCGGTTAGAAACAATGCATGTTTAAACGTGCGATTTTTTGATGTCCTATCGATAATTATATTTTCAAATCCTCGGATTTTTGGAATTTTTTGCCGATTTTGGTGATACAGATTCGCGGATTTAGATATTCAATTACGGGGTTATTTATCTTATCCACGCGATGATGCATAACGCGGGAGGTTTCAACTATATACTGCGACGTAGCCTAAAACCACCGTCGCATTCAGGAGAAGCTCGACGTGGCCGATGTGGCACAAAACTATCCCTGACACGCTCGTGTCTCTCTCCCCGCGACACATTAATGGCCAAAACCGTAAACCGCTTCTGGAGCGAGGGCGCGCCGGAAGACCCAGGATCCGCAAGACACGACTAGTCCAAGTTTGCCCGTTCACCACTTCCGCCGACGAGAGAGCCGCGTACGCGCGCGTTAGCAGAGAATACGAGCAGATGCGGCAGAGGATGGTGCGGCACATACGTTGAGGAACGTATTGTAAACATACATCCCTATCCTACTGGGGGCTCGAGCAGCCGTGTCGCAGTAAATCCCGGTACATTAATATTAATGCGTCTTCGGCATGTACTGGGCCGCTGCTCGCCCTCCTCTTCTTCTCTTCCCTTCGACGTCGGTCCTGCACGTCGTAGAAAGCACGGGGAGTTTGGCTGAGTTTACAACGTGAAGTGCATACAGAAGCTAGAGCTCTTTACAATATCCAGGCACCCTCTCGCTTCCCTCCAGTTTCTCTCTTTCTTCCCTTTTTCTTTCGCTCTTCCGAAATTAGCGGACAGGATACATTTACTATGAGAGTAGATGCGTGCATTTTACAGAATTTCAGGCTCTCTGGATCCTCTGATCTTCGGTCCGACTGCTACGCGCGCTGCATAACGCGGATGAATATTTTAATAGAGGTCTACATTTGTGAGATCTTTGAATCCTAGCATCTTCTCGTGATACGTGGATTTTTAAATACGGAACACGGATGAAGTATACTTAAGTATACTTCAGTCTTTCGAAATAACCATTTTTCACTTATTAACACCACTACATGACGCGAGAGATCTGTATATTTCAGTTAAATAATAAATATTACAGTCTTATATAATATACGATCGCAATGTTATATGACGCGACCGCCGATTGATCATCGCAAGGGATAGATCGCCGCCTTTTCCACGGCTCTGCGGTTGGCCATAACGATCTCTCGTTAGCGCAGCTAATTACTTTGGTAGTGTGCAGTGGACTGTGAAAGGTCGTTAGTTAGTA